AAAATAATTAATAGTGACTTGTTGTAATTTAATTGTTAAGTAATTCTAATTTCGTATAATCACCTATTCACCCCCTCTAGGTGTTGTTAGGGTCGAAATAAAAAAATTTCACCAATGAATTTCAACATGGAAACATGTGAACTTCTAAAAAGTAAAGTGTGGCTGTTGGCCATTGATGAGTGTTTAACTCATGCATTTTGTACCATTTTAACTTGATCATTTGTTAGATCTTATGAGTTTCAGAACGTTATGGTGTGTTTAAGGGTTGTTTTATAGATTAGGTCAAGTGGTGTAAATGGTGCAAAAGTTGGAGAAAATGGAGTAATTGAACAACAAATGGGGCACCCAGGCGCTGACCGATGCAAATGATATAGAAGTATGGCAAGCACCACGATAAGCCAAAAGAAGCTAAAGATTAATAGCGTTGCGCTGCCTAAACACCACCCCTTGAGCACCTATGCACTACACCGTATTTGCTAGGGTTTGAAATTCTTGGCCCGTTCAAAGCCCATAAACGATTCCAAATTTGAGAGAAACATTAGAGAGGCATAAATACTAATGGAAAGGCATATTTCAAGGGGTTATATAATGTGATAACATGAGAATTTGAGAGAGAAATACACTGAAGAAGAACTAGAAATCAAGGCAAGGGTTGAAGCATTGATTGGAAGAACAAGATTATCTTGGTGCAAGATTCATCAACTTATCTGCATCTTCATTCAAAGCACTTATTATCAAGACAAGGGTTGAAGCATTGATTGGAAGAACAAGATTATCTTGGTGCAAGATTCATCAACTTATCTACATCTTCATTCAAAGCACTTATTATTATTATTATTATTATTATTATTATTATTATTATTATTATTATTTTCCATCCATTGTGAGTAGCTGAACTTTTTATTAGGGCTGACAATGTAGTTTGTTGTGACCTTTTAATTCAATTTTCAAGATTATAGTTTCTTAATTTTTTGTGTTGTCTTTATTTATGGAGTTCAATGCTTGAATTACTTGGCCAATAATTCAATGATATTGGGAATCTATCACGAGTCGAGATGTGAGTTTTAGGTTTAGACTATATAGTAAAATTCGGGAACTAGTATAAAAGCGTAGAGATATCTTTTCCAGCTATGAAAAAAAAAATTGAACAACATTTTTTTATATAACTAATGAATATTTCTCTGGGATCCTGACTACTTAAGAAAAGGATAAGAGAAAAGTGTAGCATGCCCAAATCTTATATTTGATTGAACGATTAACACAGGACGTGAGCAAAATGGAACTTGAAAATTCTGCTAAGACGGGAATATCTACATTAAGATTGGTTGCATATGCTTATATTACTACTGCACGGAATATTCAACAATTGTATGTAAAAAAATATTTTGAAGAGAGTGACTACGAAAGTAATCATAAGAAAATATTTTGCACAATGGATAAGGAGTGTGATGATGGCATGCAAACTATAAAGTAAAAAATTTCTTTGTCTTCGACCTCTAGTCGATTTAGACTAGTTAAATCTACCTCTATCTCTTTCATCAATTAGAGGTCGGGTCGTATTCCTTTTCCAAAGTTTTATATTTTCTTCATTTTTGCAAGGGTTTTAAAAAATAATCCACAAACGTGGTGGTTCATTAAAAAATAGAAATAAGAGCTTCATTTATTAAATATAAAAGGTACAAAATTGCAACTTGAAAGGTAGAAAAAATAAATAAATAAATAAAGAAGAGCATATGCACGTAGCATTCAACATAACAATCCTAAGGAAACACGACCAAACTAATTTTACGGTTAATTCACAGAGCCATTCTCCTCTTCATTTTTTGGAGCTTGTCTCTTCAACATGATTCTCTTCTTGTTCAAGAAATTCATTAGCCATATAGCAGAGGCTTTGGGGAATCTTCTCAAATTGCCATTAACGAAATCTACGAAAAAAAGGCCAAATCTAACACTATTCAAAAGTATCGAACATTGTACATATATAGTAAGCCTTCACATCCACACCTTCTCTGTAAATGGAAGAAAAAATAACGAAAAATTAATTATTTTTTTCACAAAATAGCTAAATAATTTCATAATTTACCATTTGCTTTGAGATCTAATACATAGTTGCTGGGTTGTTTGATACCCAATAAATCCG